GTCCTTACAAGATCCTCTTGACCTCGTCTGACCTCACCTTATCATCCCGACCCGATACCGCGGCCAGGAAGGTGGGGGATTTTGTCTGCATAGCAGGATGTGTTCTATCTGTGTTGGTATGTGTATATAGTTCTTCTCTATGTTATCATTGTCTCAGTGTTACGCCACAAACATCTCCGTGTCTAGTCGAAATTCTTGTGTCCTCCCTCGTGAATTTTTTGTAATACCTCCGTTTTCTTCTATGTACCTCCGTTTTCTATTGTGTCAAATTCTGTTTACAAACCCGTTTTTTTTTCATTCGTCTGCTGAGTGTTCGTGTCATATTTTCTCTCCTACAAGACATTTTCACGCCTAGTTAATGTGCAGTTATCAGACTTACTTTATTTTCCGTCTGGACTTATCCATTCGAAGCTGTCTATCGGTGTGTCGATCCTCTGCTTCCGATTATGTGTTCCTAACCAATGCTTCACGACTCTGCTTCGAACCTCCGCTTGGATTATCCACCTCTACAACCTTGGCTACAAACTGCTGTGCTCAGAATGTGTTTCAAACCTCAGCTTCACCTATTTTTTTTCCTTATGAATCTTTTGGTTCGATTAGGAGTTTCAAATCTCTATAAATTCTCATATTTTTGTTTCGAGTCTCTAGTTCGAATCTATTTTTGAGATCTTGTTTTTAACCGTCCGAACCAGTGAGCCCAAACATTACGCACTAAAAGGAAAATGGGAAATAAAACTCACTGTATTTTCTAAAGTTAATTTCGAACTAGTTTTCAAAATGCCATTAAATATTTCATCATTATTCATTTTGTCATTTCTTAACTACACCGTCAGCGTTATGCAAATTTTATTCAAATTTTTTCACCATTCAGCTTTAAATGATATATATTTTTTACTTCACTAAACCAACTTATTTTTTTTAAACTATTTTTATTTTGTATCAGATTTTTTTCCTCGTACAAAGGATCATTATATATTTTTAATGTATTTTGTCTTATATTACGAGTATCTAATATTTTATCCATTTTCACCTTTTTTTTATTAATTCTCTCTTATTTTCTATACCACAAACCATTTTCTAATTCTTAACATTATTTCTTTTTCACTTTATAATTTTTCATCAGTAACAAAACACACAAAGTTTCTCTATAGATTTTTTTTCATTATTTATTCATCTTTGTACAAAACCGCTATAGAAAACATGACCCTGATATGCTGTTGAAAATTAAATCCAGTTCACGTAATATTCACCAAATATAAAAGGTAATCCTAGATATTTGATAAGGTAATGGGGGTTATATTTTACCGAAATATTAATAAAAAACAATATACTTTTTATATCGACGTAACTAATTAAAAATATAATAGTCACTGCTGAAATAGTTATCATAGTAAATGGTTTTATCTTCAATATGGTTCAAAAATTTTCACCTTGTTGAATTGGATAAATAATTTCACATTAAACTTATCAAAAAAATAAATAAAATTCCGTATAGTTGATTTAGTCCATTAAAATAGTATAAATAGTTATTCTTCCACATTAATGTTCGTATCATTGTATCGCTAAATATAAATATCGTGAACTAATATAAGCTGAATTTTTCTATATTTGTAATAATTTATCAATAAATATATTTTCTGACACCAAAATTGTAATTAAATTAAAATTAATATAAAGATTTAATCCAAAATATTGTATTGTATTTCGTGTGTAAAATTACGTAATTATTTAAACGCACAAATTCATTTAAAAAACACAATCTACTTTTAAACAGAAATATAAAACCGTTACTTATAAAATTACTAACACAATCATACATTAAACTATTTAATTTATCAAGTACCCGAGGCGTAATGAATTAATTAAAATAGAGCTTAGTTTAGGCGAAATATAATATGATTAATTTTTGTCAATGCGATATGTCATGGGAATCAGACTAGGCTAAAGGCTGCATTATCCCCCTCGGTGTTAGTCAGTAATGCGTCATAAGCTCCCGTGAGTTTGTCTGTCAGTCAAGTCATTTAGTCCTGTCACCCATAGAGCCTTATGAGTGGTGAGAGTAGTGAAGATTGTTTTAGAAATTATTTATGAACGTATATATAGATTCTTTCCCCGATTAATAATTATAATATGTTCGTTCCATCGAGCCTTTAAATTGGGTTAAATTGTCTCTTATTGGCTGTTAAGGTCAAATTAGCTTAACTTACGATTAAAGTATTAAAACGGGCGAATAATTGGAATCACTTTAAGAGCTAAAAGCAATTTGAGAGTTAGGCAGAGTTAGTGAAATGTGATGTAATAAACCCCTAGAGTTTAATGGTGATAATAATAATAATAATAATAATAATAATAATAATAATAATAATAATAATAATAATAAAATTTGCTTCACATCATTACTTCATCTTTCTTGTTTACATTCCACTTTGTTTGTTTGTTTGTTTCCCGTATGTAAACAAACTTTCCAATCTTCGTCATATATAGGGTATGTCTGTCCGTCCGTCTGTCTGTCTGTCTGTGTGACTTTACGTACCACTTCAACGTGTTATTTAACTGTCTGTGAACGACTTAATATCTGTCTGTGTGTGTGTTAAACTGTCTGGGTGTTTGTCTGTGTACGTCTGTTTATATCTCGCTTTGTGTGTCTGTATGTCTGCTTACCCTGTGCTTTGTGTATGTCTGTGTACGTATGTCTACCCCCAGCTTTGAGTACCTGTGTGTGTGTATGTCTGTCTGTTGAGTTCATCTGTCTGTGAGAGTTTACCCGTGTCCATCCATCGTCTGTCTGTCTGTCTTTCTATCTGTCTGACGTACATGCTTACATATGTCTGTCTGTCTGTTGAACTTCCTCACCCTCTCTGTGGGATGTGAATGCTCTACTCTGTCTGCCTGTCTGTCTGTCAGATATGTATGCGTCAATCTGTCTGTGTGTGTTCAATTGCCTCAGCCTCTGTCTATATGTCTGTCTGTTTATCTTCCAATCTGATAAGTATGCCCCTCTCCCTGTATGCCTATCTGTCTGTCTGTCTATCTGATAGGTTATGCCCCTCTGTCTGTCTGTCTATCTGATAGGTTATGCCCCCCTCTGTCTGTCTGTGATAGTTATTCCTCTATATATCTATCGGTCTGTCTGTCTGTCTATCTGATGTATATATATCCTTCTCTGTCTACCAGTCTGTATGTGTGTCTGTACATCGACCAACTGCCTGCCTGTCTGTGTGTGTCTGTGTATGTGTGTGTGTACATGTCAACACTCGACGACCACAAAGGAGGAACACACATCAGGTCAGGTCAGTAAAATTAAGTTGACCTTTTGTTTGTTTGGGTCATAAACACTCGCCTTTGTTCTTGTGTTTGTTTATGTTTACTTGGCGGTGTTTTAATCTGTTTTATTTGTTTGTAATGTTCATGGGGATACGTGTGTGTGTGTGTGTGTATGTATGTATGTTTTAATCAATATACATGGGTGTATGTATGTTTGCATGTGTGTTTAATTAATATACATATGTGGATATATGAGTGTATGTATGCATGTATGTAAGTGTGTATTTAATCCATATACATAGATGTATGGATGAATATATGTGTGTGAGAGTGTGTGTGCATGTGTGTATGTACGTTTTTTGCATGTACATCCAATTTGTAAACACGAGGATGTATGTGTGTATATTATAGAAATCCTTGTTATTTGGTAATATATGACTATACCAAACCTCTATGGGCATATACAGTATACATATACATACATATACATACATATACAGTGTACATATTAGTATCATCGCTATGTGGTATTTTGTGCATGCGGCAAAATATAACACGGCTTCTGGGACTCGTATACAGATCCATAGTTTGTGTCTGTGCATCGTTTCTGTCTCTTTTTGAGCTGTTGTGAGCAGATGAGACTTTGTGAGAAGCTGAGAGAGAATTGTGAGAGAGAAATTGTGAGATTTATTGTGATCACGTGTTTTTATTTTATTTTATTTTTTTATTGTGAATCGAGTTTAAAAAGTATGAGAAATGATCTTTGAGAATGGATGAGAAACACGTAAAAAACTCACAAAAGACTGAGGAATTATGAGACCGTGTGTGAGAAATATAAGACCATTTTTTAACACCATTTTCTCATGAGTATATTTTGTTTTGATTTTTTTAGAAGACTTTGTGATTTTCTCAAGATCTTTACCCTCGCCCGGGAAAAAAAATATTGGAACCTCGACCCCATTTTTGTAAACGATACCTTTTAAATAAGTTTTTTGACTGCTATGCTTATTTAAATCATTGTATGGTAATAAGAAATAAGTTAGGTATTTGTTAAAGGTGATGGGATGAATGTAGTTAGTAGTTTGTTTATTGTTTAGGTTGAGTATTTACGGGGTTTAGTTCGTGTTGCTTTGTTCGACTACCTGACCTGGCTGCTGGTGTTGTCGTGTGGCATGAGATACTCTCTCTCTCTCTCTCTGACACACACACACACACACACACACACACACACACACACACACACACACACACACACACACACAAACAGACACTTCAGTATTCCCCTTACCTTATGATCTCTCCTCACACCCACTAAACAGGTGTAAAACTGTAAATAATAACACCTATTATTAAGTATATAAACAGCGTAATATACAGCTCGAATAATGTATATAGATGACGTGTTATAATAGTCACTAATGTATATAGTTATTAAAATTTATATATAATTTGTCTATTTCATGTATGTAAATTAACCTACATTAACATAATTTAACGTTAATCATTTATAGACAATTTGAAGTATAAAAACATTTTTCATCGATGTTTATATATTTACATAATTAAAATCGTAGTAATTGCCTTTTAATTTATATATTTACCAATATATATTCACGTTTATTATTGTCTATATATTCAATTACTGTTCCTGAGATATATAAGTATTATTTAATTAACTCATTATATAACACAAATATTATAGATGTACAGAAATAATTGGACTGAAGCTTGAGTCCCGTCGCCTTGTAAAGAAACCAATATTTTTATCATTAATTACTAAGTCTTTTGAATAGCTAACTTATTTTTAATTGGCTGGCCGTTACTCTTACGTCATCAGTTCAATACAGTCACTAGATGCTCTTTATTAGTGATTTTATTCAGCTAAAATCAAATAAAAACACAAACACAAATATCAATAATGCAACATATTCTTACAACCATTTTCCTCTTTACTTATACTCATGATCCCTTGTTTCCGCCATCTTGGTTTTCCAGTTAAAGAAACTGCAATATAGTGTCGCCCAGATTTAAGATTTACCTAAATTCAACTGTATATTAGTATCGTAGAGCAATGTTAGATAAGTAATGAATATTCTCTGGGTAATGACGTGAAAATAAACTAACCTAACCTATTTTAAGTAGAAAATATAGTGGGAGTATTAAATTAGGCTCGTTGTCTCTGTCATTAATGGTTCCCTCACAGACAACTCCGGCAATATGTTGTGTTTGACCATCGTAAATTCTCTTTTTTTAGCCTCAGGTCAGACATAAATCAAATAACGTATAATTAATCCATGGAAAATAATTTGTTTATTGTTAATACGCCACACACGACTGGTAAACACTATGGCGGAAGTATTGGTGTCCGAGTGTTTGTTTTTGTACACTTAATTTGTTATTTGTTTATTTAGTCGCTTATGTGTACAGGAATGACAAATATGATCTAAATGTTGCATGTTCTTGTTCACATTTAGCATCTAGGATCAAAGTTCACTCTTGTGTATTACGAAATAGCTGAATAGATGTTGAAATTGTTGAGTATTTTTGCACAAAACTATGATATTAAATTACTTTCATGACAGTAATTGTATTAGTTTTTAAACTTTTGTGATACCGACACTATTTTTTGGTCAAATATCAGAAATATTATGTAGTTGTGACGACAGTATTTAAAAATTGTCCCCCAAGTCTGACAACCACAAGAATTAAAACCCACAGGTTGTAATATGACACCCAGGATAAACTGTGTCACCCGGGGGAGGCCTGATCTGTGTCACCCGGGGGAGGCCTGATCTGTGTCACCCGGGGGAGGCCTGATCTGTGTCACCCGGGGGAGGCCTGATCTGTGTCACCCGGGGGAGGCCTGAGATAACATATACCCCCGGGGTCTCTCAGATGAATGTTTACACTGGAGGTTCCTCTTTGTTAACCTGCCAGCCTGGGTCAGGTGGTACGGGAGAGCGGCCGGATCTACTACGTGGATCGTTTAGCTCTACACATAGGCCCATCCCACATGACTCCCTCCTCTCCACGGCATCCCACGCGGCAAATAAAGATGGGGAAGAAGCAAAGGCGAAATATAATGTGAGTAAAAGGAAGAAGAGGAGAGAAATAAAGAAAGGAACAACAGATGAAAGATTACACCTGTTACCTTACGGGTTCTTACATACCTCAAGTACCTAATTAGGATCACTTTGGTCAGTAACAGTATTGGATATTGACGAATCTCTATTGAAATTAACCCAGGTATATTTAATAGGGTTATATATTGCGGCGGCCTTCTTTAATATTTGGTTTTTCTCAACATTACTTTAACGTTTTTTTTTTCCCTCCAAGTCCAGTGCCTCCCAATAAGTAGATAGAAAAACATATAAGTAGATAGATACAGTAAATAGATAAGTAGATATATATATATAGATAGATAAATAGATAAGAATATATATATATAGGTAGATAAGTAGATAGATATATATAGAATAGATAGATGGTAGACTTGGAGGTACAGCACTTTTATTCATAACATGTTCTTAGTGTGTTCTTCATCGTTCAAGTGTGACATCAGTTATCATAATCTTTATAACATGTTCTCAGGATGTTCTTCATTGTTCATTTACCAGAACCCTCATAACACCTTCCCTGTTATACACTACACTTTCCTCCTCTGGATAACTCACCAATGACCTTTGACCTGACCTGCAGGGAGACTTCGTCCACCTCAGGTACTTCTATGTTCCTACCGGCAACTTCGAGGTCAAGAACAGGACCATGACCCTCCTTAAACAGGTCAGTGGGCGGCTCTTGTTGACCCTCTACCCTTTGTCTTGACCTTTGACCTCTTGTGCTTGTTCCTTCCCCTTTGTCTTGATTCTCTACCCTTTGTCTTGACCTTTGACCTCTTGTGCTTGTTCCTTACCCTGTCTTGACCTTTGACCTCTTGTGCTTGTTCCTTCCCCTTTGTCTTGATTCTCTACCCTTTGTCTTGACCTTTGACCTCTTGTGCTTGTTCCTTACCCTTGACTTCGACCTCTTGTGCTTGTTCCTTACCCTTTGTCTTGACCTTTGACCTCTTGTGCTTGTTCTTCCCCTTTGTCTTGACCTTCGACCTCTTGTGCTTGTTCCTTACCCTGTCTTGACCTTTGACCTCTTGTGCTTGTTCCTTACCCTGTCTTGACCTTCGACCTCTTGTGCTTGTTCCTTACCCTTTGTCTTGACCTTCGACCTCTTGTGCTTGTTCCACCTTTTTGTCATGACCTTTGACCTCTTGTGCTTGTTCCTTACCCTGTCTTGACCTTTGACCTCTTGTGCTTGTTCCTTACCCTTTGTCTTGACCTTTGACCTCTTGTGCTTGTTCCTTACCCTGTCTTGACCTTTGACCTCTTATGCTTGTTCCTCTACCCTTTGTCTTGACCTCTGACCTCTTGTGCTTCTTCCGTACACTTTGTCTTGACCTCTGACGTCTTGCACTTCTTCCTTACCCTTTGTTTTAACCCTTTACCCTTTGTTTTAACCCAACTTTTGTCTGGGTGTTGTTGATTTATCTGCCATATTTATGAGACACCCTGTATAGTATTGTACACAACCTATGATACACCCTGTACAAACCTGTGAGGATCTGACCCCACACCACACTCGGTACATCACACGACCTACAGTGTCTCGACCTTCCCCCCAGATGCGCGATCAGCGGCACGAGAACATCAACGGGTTCCAGGGGATGCTGTGTGACCCCATACGACCCGGCCTGGTGTTTGACTACTGCAGCAGGAGGTCACTCGAAGACATCATCAGACAGGAGGATATCAAGCTCGACTGGTCCTTCAGGCTGTCTCTCCTCACTGACCTTGTTAGGGTATGTGTCTCTCTCTCTCTCTCTCTCTCTCTCTCTCTCTCTCTCTCTCTCTCTCTCTCTCTCTCTCTCTCTCTCTCTCTCTCTCTCTCTCTCTCTCTCTCTGACTGAGTAGAATCCTTAACCTAACCAAACATATATATAACCTAACCTAACCTTACAGTACATAGATCTTCCATAACCTAACCTAACCTAACATAGATTATCCATAACCTAACCTAACCCCATCACCTTCACCTACAGGGCATGAGGTACTTACACGGATCACTCTTCAGACATCACGGCCGCCTCACCTCCCGTAACTGTGTGATTGACGCTCGTTGGGTACTCAAGGTGACGGATTACGGTCTCCCTGGCATCTACGAGTACCAGAACCTCACCTACCCCAACAAACCCATCCGCGGTACTGTTTCTCACCTGAGTCCGACCAGATAATATGGCCGTTACACCTCAGAGTACATCTTTGTTTTGTTGTAATGTTTCTCACATCTTTGACACAATCAGGTATCCTCACATCCCTAATATAATTAACTTAAAGTTTTATAAGTAATTTAAGTGGTTTTAAGTATCTGTATCTCCACACTTGAGTTATAACGTACCACTACTTCACACTTTATATCTGAGATTATTACACAGGGTCATATTTTTTTTATTCAGGAACCTTAAATTATTATATTTTAGAACGTGAAATAAACAGGAACCAAAAATCATCAGGAATAAAGTCGGATCATAACATAACATAACATAACATAACATAACATAACATAACATAACATAACATAACATAACATAACATAACATAACATAACATAACATAACATAGCATAACATAACATAACATAACATAACATAACATAACATAGCATAACATAACATAACATAACATAACCATGGCATAACATAACAACATAGCATAGCATAGCCATAACATAGCTTTATAACATGGCATAACGCAGCATAACGCAACATAACGCTAACATAACATAACATAACATAACATAACGCCAGCATAACATAGCATGGCATGGCATAACATAACCGCTTGCATAAACGCAACATAACATAACATAACATAACGCTTAACTTTATAACGCGCTTAACGCAACACCGCATAACATAACCTGCCTGGCACTAGCATAGCATAACATAACATAGCATAACATAACATAGCATAACATAACATAGCATAACATAACATAACATAGCATAACATAGCATAACATAACATAACATAACATAACATAGCATAGCATAACATAACATAGCATAACATAACATAGCATAATATAACATAGCATAACATAACATAGCATAACATAGCATAACATAACATAACATAGCATAACATAACATAGCATAACATAACATAGCATAACATAGCATAACATAGCATAGCATAACATAACATAACATAGCATAGCATAACATAACATAGCATAACATAACATAGCATAACATAGCGCATAACGCTAACGCGCTTTTAGCATAACATAACATGGCATAGCATAGCATAACGCAGCATAACGCATAACATAACATAACCGCATAACATAACATATGCAGCATAACGCAACATAACACTGCAACACAACATAGCATAACAACATAACATAGCATAACGCAACATAACAACATAGCGCAGCATAAGCATAACATAAGCATAACATAACATAACATAACATAACATAACATAACGCCTTGCATAACGCAACGCACAACATAACGCCGCGCAACATAACATAACATAACATAACATAACATAACATAACATAACATAACATAGCATAGCATAACATAACATAACATAACATAACATAACATAACATAACATAACATAACAGCATAACATAACATAACATAACATAACATAGCATAACATAACATAACAGCATAACATAATATAACATAACATAACATAACATAACATAACATAACATAACATAACATAACATAACAGCATAACATAACATAACATAACATAACATAACATAACATAACATAACATAACATAACCTAATCATTGTGAAGAACATTTATGATCAGAGTTTATTCCTGTTGATATTTAGTTCCTGTTAATTACACGTCTTAAAATATAGTAATTTAAGGTTCTTGAATAAGGAAAATGATCCTGTACTTGTAAATAAAGTTTCTGGGTGTAAGTGACTCAGCTATACAGGTCATTATCTTCATCATGTCATCTCCAACAGACCTCCTATGGAAGGCCCCGGAGCTACTACGTGATGAAGCGCTTATGATAAAAGGGACTCAGCCAGGGGATGTGTTCTCCTTCGCTATCATCATGCAGGAGGTGGTGGTGCGAGGTGCTCCTTACTGTATGGTGCAGCTTACACCACAGGGTATGTTGGAGGCTTCTGCTGCCTCTCTTCCTCAACTATGAACCCCGAGATTCAGATTCATGAACCCAAAGCAGTGATGCATTATTCTGTCCATAAATGCTTCATATTTATGCGTCTGAATCTTGGGTTTTGTGATTGAGGAGGAGAGGCAACAGGTCTTTTGTGGGTGGCTGTACACACACTGCAAAAAATATCTTACCATTTTGTGTGAGATAAAACGACACAACATTGAAGGATTTTGACAACCCTGTGAGAGAACGGGAAGCTGCAGTGTTCATTTTGAAATTTATCTGACCCTCGTGAAGATTCTTTTAGGAGTGTGTTTACATAAATAGTTTCCACATCAGTTATAAAGTAATCTAATTCCACTCATGTTCTTTATACATATTTAATGAACTCAGTCACTAATGGTTTTGTGATCTGTCTGTCTATAGATAAATGGTTCCCATGTAGTAATTATAGTTGTATTGTCAGCACTACAACCAAATATTATACATTAGTTTTGGCTTTATATACTGTAGTTAATTTTATATTCATTTTGCTTTCGGTCAGGAGGTTCAGCCATTGTGTTATTGTTTCATACTATACCTGCCATTGTACCTCTAGTTGTACCTGTCTGTACCTGTCTGTACCTGTTGTACCTCTCCTCAACCTAGAGTCACACCAGTACCTCACTCCTACAGAGATCCTGGCCCGCCTCAAGAAGCCTCCCCCTATGATCCGGCCGTCAGTGTCCAAGGGAGCAGCGCCTCCGGATGCCATCAACATCATGAAACAGTGTTGGGCTGAGCTGCCAGACATGAGACCAGACTTCAACCAGATTAATGACCTCTTTAAGAAACTCAACCAGGGTCGGTAAGTGATTCATGACCCCTGGGAGTCACTTATACATTTTGATTTGACTTAGAAAATTGACTTAGAAAATTTACAAGTGAATTCCATCTATTTATTGAATGCTTTTAGACTTGTTACCGGTAGGTGGGGAGTTTATATCCATTCACTGTTAATTAAAGTGCTTATAAGTCATTTTCTTTTACCTAGAGTTAATGTGATTTAGAAGTTATTATTATTTACTTTGGAAATATATATCTGATAGTTTTGTAGACTGTCCTTGGTCAAATTGCCTTTCTGTTTACCAATGTTGTGCTATACCTACACTGTCTAAGCTCATATGAAACTGTAGAATGTAGGGAAAAATGGCACAGGAAAATATGGTATCGGAAAAAAGGCATAATCATCAGACTAGGAAAAAATGGCACAATAATTTTTATTGACATGTTTTCGCTAAAATTTTCTGGCATTTGTGACTGAAACTTACTTAAGAGTTATATCAACGTCATAACAGAAAACATTTATTACCTTTAACTGGCAGAGGGTCTTCAGCCTTGTGTGGAGGTTCTTGTAAACTCCTTTATGGCCTAACTGGGCTGCTCACCACGAGATTCTTTGATGATGTGAGATGATACAACAGCATGGTCAGCTTGGAGCCACTGGATGGAACGCCAGATAGTTTGGTGGCTGTACCCAACCAACCTGGTAGTAGAGGAAGTAAAGAAAGCTTTGAAAGGAATGAGTGTTAGTACAAGACTAGAGAGGTCATCCTAAAACTATACCTTGCGCTTGTGAGATTACGCAGTTCAGTTCTGGTCACCGTACTACAGAATGGATATAGAATCCCTAGAAAGAATTCAGAGGAGAATGACAAGAGTAATCCCAGGCATTAGGAACCTTGAGTACAGAGACAGGTTAAAGCATCTTAATCTGCACTCCCTCGAGAGACTTAGAGTGAGGGGCGATATGATCAGGGTGTATAAATGGAAGTCAGGGCTAAACAAAGGTGACATAGCAAGTTACCAAACATCATCTTTAACTCTAATACACTGGATAACTTCAAACATAGGCTCGTTTGAGGTTCGTGAGCTCGAAGTGAAATTTGTTGTGCCATTTTTCCTAGTACGTACCACGAAAACTTTGCTATATTTTCCTGTGACATGTGTTCCGAGTACCCAAACTGCACACTGTACTGTACTCTAGGTCCACAGTTTACGTGCTGTACATGTGTTCCGAGTACCCAAACTGCATGTGTTACTGTACTCTAGGTCCACAGTTCACGTGCTGTACATGTGTTCCGAGTACCCAAACTGCACACTGTACTGTACTCTAGGTCCACAGTTTACGTGCTGTACATGTGTTCCGAGTACCCAAACTGCACACTGTACTGTACTCTAGGTCCACAGTTCACGTGCTGTACATGTGTTCCGAGTACCCAAACTGCACACTGTACTGTACTCTAGGTCCACAGTTCACGTGCTGTACATGTGTTCCGAGTACCCAAACTGCACACTGTACTGTACTCTAGGTCCACAGTTTACGTACTGTACATTGTATATCTGTATTGCTTTTATTCACAGTACCTGCAGAGTTTATATACTTGCCTATCCAATTGTAAACTTGTATGGCACTTGTACTGAAGAAGTTTTATTACAGTATTATTACAGTACAGTATTATTATTATTACTTATTATTATTATTACGTATTATTATTATTATTATTATTAATTATTATTACTGTATTCTTTTTATTGTTGTTCTTAGTGTTATGAATGCTTTACAATTGGCACACACTATATTGATACTGTACTGTACTACAAAGGACTAACTTATCGTTGGTGTTGCAGGCGGCTGAACATCGTCGACACAATGTTCCAGATGTTGGAGAAATACTCGAGCAACCTGGAGGAACTCATCAGGGACAGGACGGAACAACTGGACCTTGAGAAGAAGAAGACGGAACAACTACTGAATAGAATGTTGCCCAGGTGATTAGAAGGGGGGGAGAGGAGGTTAATTAACTGGGAACATTATTACCTACCTGTGTTGTAGGTCAGTGATACCAAGTGAGATAGTGGTGTGTTTTAGGTGTGTGTGATGCTAATGATGGTTAGAAAGGGTGTTTGGTTAAGGGGCTTCTATTAGACAGGTAAATGGGTTATAATCCTGGCCTGAGACATACAGGAGAAGGGGTTTATCCTCTGTGACACTATCAAACATGGCGGGATTTATCCAGGTATAACACAAGATAATAAAGCTCATGGTAAAGTAACAATGAAGTGACCGACTGCCCGAATGACTTGTAAATTGATAAATGGTGAAATGTTAAATAAAACTTTAATGTCTATCCATCCATCTGTCTGTCTGTCTGTCTGTCTCTGTGTGTCTGTCTGTCTGTCTGTCTGTCTGTCTGTCTGTCTGTCTGTCACACCATTTACCAAAGACCTGTAGAAGATCTTGACCAAATTATATAAAACTATTCCTATATGAGATAATTTAAAGGTGTTTTAGTGCAGGACAGATTGCTGCTTTTCTAGAGAGCAGAATCTTAGATTAAGTTTAGTCAGGTTAGGTAAAGCCGCTGTAAGTTAGGTTAAGAAAGATTAAGTTAGGTTAGGGTAAATTAGGTTACATATGGTTAAAGTTTGGTTAGATTAGGTTAGGATACATAATGTTAGATTAGGTTAGGTTACATAAGGTTAAAGTTTGGTCAGATTAGGTTAGGTTATATACATAAAGTTTTGTTAGATTAGGTTAGGTTATATAAGGTTAAAGTTTGGTTAGATTAGGTTAGGTTATATAAGGTTAAAGTTTGGTTAGATTAGGTTAGGGTTACATATGGTTAAAGTTTGGTTAGATTAGGTTAGGATACATAATGTTAGATTAGGTTAGGTTACATAAGGTTAAAGTTTGGTCAGATTAGGTTAGGTAAGATTAGGCTAGATAAGGTTAAGTCAGGTTTAGTTAGGTTAGGTTAAGTGTCTGTATAGTTCTCAAATACGTTGTTCGAGCGGCCATCATTTCCCTCATTGTCTCTTGCAGTTCCGTGGCAGATCAGCTGAAACTGGGAATGCCTGTAGCACCAGAGGAGTTCGACGAGGTCACCATCTACTTCTCGGACATTGTGGGGTTCACCAGCATATCCGCCTACTCCACCCCCTTCGAAGTGGTTGACCTGCTGAATGACCTCTACACTGCATTTGACTCCACCATCAACCACTACAATGTTTATAAGGTTAAATGACATCGTTTAGCCATTTATAAGTATACCGGTAGTTACTCTTTGTATTGTATGTATTTATGTATGTATATATGTATAAGTGAATACAGTATCACATGACTTTAACCCCTTGTTTACCGGGTCGCCTCAGTTGAATAAAATTGTCTTGACGTTAGCCAAGTAAATATTAAAAGTCATCTTACTCAAGGGGTTAAATCATCATAACTAATTAAGGGGTTGTTATTGTACTCAAGGGGTTAAGAATACTGTAGACCCTTACCAGTCGCGGGTTTGTGATTCGCAATAAGCAGATGGTGGCTATGGTGGCTAACTTGGGAGCCCTTTCCCACATCAGCACAAGTCATACGATGGAGCATCTCGTGTTGTACTCTCAAAACTTTAGAGTATCTGTGTGAAATAGCCCCTTAAAGACTGCCTAGTGTCAGTGCTAATGATGCTTTTGGAGTGAAATGTAAAAGGCAGAAGTTAGTGGTGGGTTGTTTGGTGTAGGTATACGGTAAAGCATTAAGGTAGTTCAGATTGCTATTTGTGGTTTTGTCTATTTACGTCATTCCTTTGAACCTAACCCCAAACGTAACATGTTTACTCTATAGAAGATAATAAAGTGTGACATCTGTTAATTAGCTTTGTATTTAAGGAGACTGAGCCACTGATACTGTTTACAGAAACTCCACAAGAGGAAATTGGTTGGGAATGGTTTAATCTTCAGGTAAAATAAGTTAGGTGTGAGCTAATCTTAGAGCAAAATAAGCTGGAGAAATGGCTAATCTTCAGGTAAAATAAGCTGGGAAATGGCTAATCTTCAGGTAAAATAAGCTGGGAAATGGCTAATCTTCAGGTAAAATAAGCTGGGAAATCATCTAATCATATCCCAAACTAAACACTGCCATATGACACACAGGTGGAGACAATAGGCGACGCTTACATGGTGGTGGGCGGCGTACCAACCAAGATTGATGACCACGCCTCTCAGATAGCCACCATGGCACTGGATCTCCTTCACCTGTCTGGCAAGTTTAGGATCAGACACCTTCATAACATCCCCCTCATGCTTAGGATCGGCATACACACAGGTAAAGAGAGTTTGATAATTAGTAAACAACACCTGTAGATTATTATAGGTAAAGGTATTCCCCGATATATACAGTAGTTATTTTTCGAGTACCTTAAATGATCATTATATTTTAACGTGTAGTAAACAGGATTTTTATTGGTGAATTTCATGTGAAAATTCCTCCACTAGACTAACCTTTTCCCTTCCAATACCATAAGGTTCTACCATTGGATATACAGTACAGTACATTTTTTCACTTAATATACTTCCAGGAACACAAACATGTAGTATATTATGATACACTTATTAGTTGGAGTCCAAAGGTAATATATTTCCCGTTAATTATGATATACCTATTAGTTGGAGTCCAAAGGTAATATATTTCTCGTTATATTGATCAACCAGTTAATACATTTATTCTTGTTGATTTACTGTTATTGATTAGTAACCCAGGTTAAGTAAAGGACCCTACTGGAGTTAAGCATCTAATGGTGAGTGCTATTTATGACATTATATACTGTACCAACAAATATCTACTAGTCCATATAATTCTAATGAAAAAGATAATTGGTCAAAACAGGTTGAGAAATATACCAGGGAATACAATGCCATTATTAGGAAATATTTTTAGTCCAAGTGGCTATTTAACCTCAATGGAAAGGAACGGAGCTTAAAGTAGTGTCATGTTCCCAGGTCCTTGTTGTGCTGGTGTGGTGGGGATGACTATGCCGAGGTACTGTCTCTTTGGGGACACTGTCAACACCGCCTCGAGGATGGAGTCGACAGGTAAGGTATAAATTAATAACACACCTGATGTATGAATACTAAACATGGATTAATTACACCTGATGAATGAATACTAAACATGGATTAATTACACACCTGATGAATGAATACTAATTACATGGATTAATATGGACACCTGATGAATGATTACTAAACATGGATTAATAACACCTGATGAATGATTACTAAGCATGGATTAATGGATTAATAACACCTGATGAATGAATACTAAACATGGATTAATAACACCTGATGAATGATACTAAACATGATTAATAACACCTGATGAATGATTATAAAATGATAATAACATGATGAATGAATACTAAACATGGATTAATAACACCTGATGTATGAACACTAAACATGGATTAATAACACCTGATGAATGATTACTAAACATGGATTAATAACACCTGATGAATGATTACTAAACATGGATTAATAACACTGATGAATGAATACTAAACATGGATTAATAACACCTGATGTATGAACACTAAACATGGATTAATAACACCTGATGAATGAATACTAAACATGGATTAATTACACCTGATGAATGATTACTAAACATGGATTAATAACACCTGATGAATGAATACTAAACATGGATTAATAACACCTGATGTATGAACACTAAACATGGATTAATAACACCTGATGAATGAATACTAAACATGGATTAATTACACCTGATGAATGATTACTAAACATGGATTAATAACACCTGATGAATGAATACTAAACATGGATTAATAACACCTGATGAATGAATACTAAACATGGATTAATAACACCTGATGAATGATTACTAAACATGGATTATTAACACACCTGATGAATGATACTAAACATGGATTAATAACACATGAATGAATACTAAACATGGATTAATTACACCTGATGAATGAATACTAACATGGATTAATTACACCTGATGAATGAATACAGCAAACATTAATCCAAATTTAATGAAAGTACTGAATGATTCTTTGCAGGGATTAATACACAGAAAATGGAGATTACAATACAAACATTAGGGATCAAGTATCATGGGAATAATAATACAACACAATATATTATAATTATTAGTGAAATATTCCTCCCACTTGACTGTTATCGTTACTAATTTTGCTGGAAGAAAATTCACTTCTTGATAAAATTTCCCACAAATACACCATGAGATTTATACCAAGACTCGTGGTGAAATAAACTTAATTTATGTAAGTAAATTAAAAACAAATCATCAGACAATCCTAAAACACTGAATTATGGGTAATTTTCTAACAAAGCTGTACATTAATATATAAATTCCCGTCATCACGTAACACAGGAGTCTAATTGTTTTGGGTCATGTAACGATTAGACATCTTAGTTTATTTTATCTGATGATTAAACACTCTAACTTTATATAGGGTGGTTAGATTAGTTAAGTAGTATTAGTAGTAGTAATAATAGTGGTAGTAGTAATAGTGGTGGTGGTGGTGGTGGTGGTAGTAGTAATAATAGTGATAGTAGTAATAGTGGTGGTGGTGGTAGTAATAGTGGTGGTGGTGGTGGTGGTGGTAGTAGTAGTAATAATAGTGGTAGTAGTAATCGTGGTGGTGGTGTTAGTAGTAGTAATAGTGGTAGTACAGTAACGGCAGCAGTATCCATCATAACCCACAATAAAACAACATGGCCTCCTATATCACCTCACTCCTGGTCCGTCACCCATTAGAGTACACGAGCCTCCTCACCCCCCCGCAGGATCGGCCTGGAGGATACACGTGAGCGAGAAGACGTGGACGGTGCTGCGGGACGTGGGCGGCTACCACCTGGAGTTCCGGGGACTCACCAAACTCAAGGGCAAAGGCGAGATGAACACCTACTGGCTCCTCGGCAAAGAAGGTTTCCTGAAGGATCTACCAGTGCCCCCAGAGATAGGGTTAGTGTCTGGGGGTCAGGGGTCAAGGTTGGGTCAGGGGTCAAGGTTGGGTCAGGGGTCAAGGTTGGGTCAGGGGTCAAGGTTGGGTCAGGGGTCAAGGTTAGGTCAGGGGTCAAGGTTAGGTTAGAGGTCAAGGTTGGGTCAGAAGTCAAAGGTGAAACACATTCTATCTCACACTAACCTTAACATTATTCATTAGTAAGAGTCAGTGAATAATTACCTTCATCAGACTCCACACCCATGTACATTTATTCATTGACAAAATAAACAAAATAGATTGATAATTTATATATATCACTAATTTAAAAATCATCATCATTACCACATTCATTATTCTTCATTAAACACAAAGATAATTACCCCTGTATATAATGAATAATATCTCTGAATTCTCTTTATTTTACATTATTCATTTTAAGTCAATACAGTAATTATCGTCTTTAATCACAAAAGGTAATTATGAAATGACTGTCATTTGTTGATGGCGACCATGTTGTTTACTGTATATATTAATTAGTGTTTATTTTCCATTACCTGCCGTCTTATCTACAGGTACACACACAGGTAAGCTCACCATTTTCCCCCTGCTTTAGTCCTCATAAGATCACCATTAGATTTATCAAGATCACCATTATTTTCATTTCTAACCAGACGTCTTTTTAAATCTATTATTCGTCATTGCTATTTAATGCTATTTAGGTTATCATTGTTGTTTTGTGTTAAGTTACTATTGTATATTTTATGATAGGTTATCATTGCTATTTTAAACTCGTCGGGTCATCATTGCTATTTTATGCTAGTCAGGTCATCATTGCTATTTTAAACTAATAAGGTCACCAAAGTATTGATTTATGTAATTTGCATAATGTCTTTTATTTAAATTTATCTGGGCTATTTTTTTAGATACAAAATGGTTTCTATTTTTTTTTGGTAATATTTTATTGAGTAATTTCTTTGCCTTTGTTTACTGTTGTTTGTTTATTGTTTGCTTTGGGTAATGTTAGTCTCTTGTTTGTTATTTGTTTCCATTTTGTTTGTCAAGTGTTTGTTAACTCAAGTCTATAAGGATAGGTTATGTTAGGTTAGGTTGGGTTAGTTTAGTTTTGGTTAGGATAGGTTGTGTTATACAGTATTATGTTAGGTTAGGAGAGGTTAGGTTAGGTTAGGATAGGTTGTGTTATACAGTGTTAGTTTAGGTTAGATTACTAGGTTAAGATAGGATAGATTAGGTTATGATAGATGTAAGGACAGTGATCCATTATATCCTGTTAGTTAGGTTAGGATAGGATAGGTTTGACCCTACAGGAAACCCTGAATCACACTATCCTTATCCTCAAGTTGTGTTTTATGTGAATTTGGATAGTAAGGGATAGTGAAGGGATAGTACTGTACAGGATAGTAATAATAGTAGAGTCACATCATGGTCAACACTACCAGCCATAACTGACTTGTATTTCTCCAGGCTGGACGAGGAGCTGGTCCGCCTAGGTCGTCAACATTACATGGCCCGACGCGACTCCACCGTTGACTCCCTGGCCAGCATTAAGGGTTTCAGTTCCATCCACGCCGCCAAGATGCAGAACGAGGCACTGGAGGCGTCCGTGTGCGAGGAGGAGGTCGCCGGCGGCTCTGGGGACGCTCGGATGATGTTGTCCGTCCTTCAGCAGTTGAGTTCCGAGAGCGAAGGCGTCCCCACTCAAGACGCCGAGGGCGAGGGATCTTCCAGTCCTAGAGTCGTGGTGCCAAATGGAAGGACTCATTTAGAGGCTTCGTGTATCATAGTTAAGGAAGCTAATAAGAGCTGTAAGGATGACAGCTCAAGTACAAAGCAAGTATCAAAAAGTAACTGTGTTAAGAGCAAAAGTCAAAGTTCAGTGCCAAAGAACATTTGTGATAGTGTTGTTGTTGTGCCAAAAACTTACTCGAGGGAAAGACGGGAAAGTCACCACCGTAGCAGACACTCTCACGCCAGGTCCAGGTCGCCACAGCCTTCTGCACCCCTCCTCCAGGCCAACCACGTTGACCATACATCGGAGATCGAGTTACAGATGGGTTCGGTGATCGCCAACACCCCGGTGGAAAACTCCGGCAACATCGGGACTCACGCCTTTCACGGTGGTGACCACAGGGTGTTCTGCAAGAGCAACTCAGGGGGCAAAAGATGCACTGCAGAAGAGGACACGGACGACCCTTCAGGCCGAGCCTCAAACTTCCCACCGGGACCGAGAAGAGAATCGTGCCGAGGATCCAACACCCCTCGCACGGCGTCCCCGCCCATGCTGTGCCACAACAAGGTCTTCCCACAACACGATATGTCATCACCCGTTAGGGACCGCACCACCACCTGGGGCCATGGACCTCTGCCAGGGGCCCAGCAGGAGATGGGAGGAATGCGCCCCACAGCACTGCAGGGAGTGACTGCCGAGTGCCAAGTACACCCACACACCCAGGACCCCCCGTCACCCACCGAATCGACCATGTTGTGACCCCCACCACCACAGATCTCATCACCCACCCCTCTCTTCCTCTTACACTCTGATCCCTCCCTCACCACAACTTTATTACCTCAACCTTCTCCCTCACCCCAACGCCTTTCACCAAACATAATGATCCAACAACTGACAGTAACAACTTATCCATATTATCTACACTTCCAGATACCTTAACATGACAACACATTTAGTTCATCAATCTCTCACACTCTGAAACACACTGTTATCAATTTCTTTGCATCATTTTTTATCTCATCTTATGCTTACTCCATCTCATGAAATATATCTTGTTCAATATTACCTTATTTCACTTCAACTTTTCCCTGCCCTTCATCCCATTATGCCCTTTCTCCTCCTCCATCACATTCCATCTTGCCTTGTGTCTACCATTCCAGCCTCTCTGCCTCCCCTCGTTCACACACTCCGCCCTTCTCTGTGTTAAGTTCCCTCCCAGCCGTCCCACAGAACTTGAACACCATCTTCCTTGCGTGTCCTAGCTGGACTTATGACGATGGTCATGGTACTGTATATTACCCCGACCCCCCCCCCCGGTGTCTTGCTGGAGTCACGGGGAATGGAACTTTCTCCTCAGTCGGGGGGAATTGAAACTTTCCTCTGAGGAGTCACAAAAAATGGAATAATGAAACTTTCACCTCACAGTCACAGAGAAGTGGAACTTTCTCTTTCGTCAGGGGAATTGAAACTTTCCTCTGATATTCACAGAAAAATGGAATAATGAAACTTTCACCTCACAGTCACAGAGAAATGGAACTTTCTCTTTAGTCAGGGGAATGAAACTATTCTCTCACAGTCACGGGAGAATGGAATAATGAAACTTTCTCCTCGTGGTCATTTTTGGTGGCAAGGTGACTCGCATATTGACCACACTTGCAGGCTTCAGTGTGTGGAGTCTTATATGTAAGTGAGGATTTTATTAAGCTCTCCCTTCTATAGCGACTATTTTTACATTGAGTGTATACTTTCCCCTTCAAACATGATGGACTATTTTTACAACAAACCTTCATTTCACGTGACTACTTTTGACGCTCTTCCCGTCCTTTCTCTCCGTTTACCCCGACACTCACTTTCTGTACTAAACAGTGGATATTTTTATAGTTACAGTCCTCCAGCTTCCCCTGCGGCAACTTTTATATATGTGCGGAATATCTGTCATGTCTTAACAAAACTGTAACTTCATACACTTTAACATGAAGCCTCCGGTAACTTTATTCTCCGTATACATTACTTTATCTTCATCGTTTTTTCTCTTTATTCCTTTGATTTATCTGTGATTCTTCCATACCATGTGTAGCAGCCAACCTTAACACACAAGTGCCGAGTTCTTTGTCAGGTTACTTTATGTATTTGCTGAGCTACTGATCAGTCTGTTTGCCTCTTAGATAGTTGGTCATGTCTCTGTTACACACTATTGGCAAGTACTGGGCATGTACTGGTTACAAAATTTATCATTATATACGGCAGTGTTGGTCAAGTCAGATCTTGAATGAACTCACACTCGGTGCCGTCACAACACACTCTGGCAGATTATTTCAAGAGTTTGTTCTAATTTTTTTTTAAGTTATGGCTTCATCTACCTGAGGCTATTACATGCTTAATATTACCCAAATGACTTAATATTTCACTTGGATTGAGAAAATATGTGTGACTGGCTCTCTGTAGATCAGGTCAGACATATCACTGACTACATTACTACTGTTGGTACTCAGATGATGAACTGACACACCATACAATATGTCACTGTATAAACGACTGTTACATTGTCTAAATTTACACAATCAGACACACAGACAGACACCAACTGACACACCATACATGACAGTAAAAATTCATATTATCATTTCCAAATCTACAGACAGACAGACAACACACCAACTGACATCTTGCCCTCATAAAGACCTCCACTAGACTGGTGCTGCCATTGTTGTGTTAAGGAAGTCTTGTACTACATGTGTAAAGGTTAAAAGTTCTTTATTGATCAAAAGTATTATTATTTAAATATTGTTTTAGGTGTTATTTATCATATATTTTCTGTCATCATCTTCGTTATTTATTTTATTTTGTTGTCATCTGAGTTAATCTTATTCTCTCTCTCTCTCTCTCTCTCTCTCTCTCTCTCTCTCTCTCTCTCTCTCTCTCTCTCTCTCTCTCTAGGAGGTATACAATTTTTACTTTATTAAAAATTCCATATCAAAAAGTAGTTGTCAACAAAACGTAGAGATAAATGTAATTAATTTCCGAGGTAATTCGTAGTGATTTGTTTAGGGGCTCGTAGCAAGACGTAGGCCGGAAATTATCTTCACTTTTTAGCGGGTAAACCGTAGGATGCTGTCGGAGCTTAACTGAACACATAATTATTTCCTTTTTGTTGTATAGAGATGCAATCAAAAAAAAAATAACATAGCCTAGGTTGATAGATGTGTAGAGAGTATGTGTGAATGTGTGTCTGTGTGATAGAGAGATGTAGAACGCCCAGTCATTCTTGTATGTGTCTCTCTTTCTCTCTCTCTCTCTCTCTCTCTCTCTCTCTCTCTCTTAATTTTCTTTGGTGGTAATAGGTACAATTGATCTTATCTCAGGCCAATTTCTTAATCCCTATTTTTTTTAAGTGGTTGGATAGTTTGAGTGGATGGATATGATGGTTTGAGCAGAATAACAAATGCCTCGGAATTCAGTTAGTAAAGTGTGTAATTACTTACATACACTCAACAGGAGAGTGTGCGTGTATGTGCAACAATTGGGTGTGTGTGTACAGTGTAGTCACATACATACATCAGACACTTAAAGACATACAGCTGAGCATCTGTACCAGGAACCTTTGAGGGATGTTTAGACCCATAATGAGGTTGAAACAGTCATTAAACTACTCGAATTTTGTTACAATAAAACACTATGATTAGTTACAGACATTATTTCAATATTTTAGGGATGAAATTTTGTATATTTAATTTTATACCCATTTTAAGGAAGCACTTAAGGTGTTCTTTTGAGTGTATCTCTCCACTTGGTCATATACACAAGTGACTGATGTGGATTACAACTGTGCACAACACCTATAGCTGCAGTGAAGTAAGTGAAGTAAGCAAGTAGCTGCAGTGAAGTAAGTGAAGTAAGCAAGTAGCTGCAGTGAAGTAAGTGAAGTAAGCAAGTAGCTGCAGTGAAGTAAGTGAAGTAAGCAAGTAGCTGCAGTGAAGTAAGCAAGTAGCTGCAGTGAAGTAAGTGAAGTAATTAAGTTTTATAAAGAGTCATTATTTGTGTGTTTGTGTACAGTATGTTTTATAACTGTGACCAGGGGTGTACCTTCATCTGGGCCAGGGCAAACACTCCTAAAGTCATGTTATCCAAGTTCAGTTTAGTGCATATAATATTAACACACATGCGAGGAACTTACACACACACACACACATACATGACTAGCTTAACACACACACACACACATACATGACTAGCTTAACACACACACACATACATGACTTAACACACACACACACATACATGACTAGCTTAACACACACACACACACATACATGACTAGCTTAACACACACACACACACATACATGACTAGCTTAACACACACACACACACACATGACTAGCTAACACACACACACACACATACATGACTAGCTTAACACACACACACACATACATGACTAGCTTAACACACACACACACACATACATGACTAGCTTAACACACACACACACATACATGACTAGCTTAACACACACACACACCTACACAATTAGCTGAACACACATACACGACTAGCTAATACACACTGTGGGGTATGAGATGTTTAGTTCACACTCAGGATGGGATGGAGAAAGGAAACTCACAATGTGCTCTCTGTATACATGTTGTATTGGATGTACAATGCAGCTTGGTGCTGGGAAGGCAGCATGGTAACAAGCGTGATGTAGAGAGAGCTGGTTGGTGAGGATGCTCAGAGGAGGACCAGCCTGTGGGTCGTCATGCTCGCCGGCGGGAGCGAGGACCGCCCGGCAGGCGGAGGAGGAGGAGGAGGTGTTGCTGGCTGGTTGGTGTAGGTAGAAAGAGAGAGGTCACCACGAGGTCAGGTCTTAAATAGCGGGGGGGTAGGCGTGGCTTAGTAGTTGACCTCCGTGATGTATGGCGGAGCTGGTTGACCCAGACCACGAGGCATACACTGGGGAATTCGCGGGGTCGGCTACGCAGCGACAAACAGCGTTTGTAGGGGAGAAATCCACTACAACACCCCCACGACTATTAACACACCTGCACACAGATGTTTAGCTTAACACACACACACACATGACTTGCTTAACATACACACACATGTACATTACTAGCTTAACACACAGACATACACATGATGACGAGCTTAACACACACATGATGTCTCACTTAACAAACACACACACACACACACACACACACACACACACACACACACACACACACACACACACACACTCACTCACTCACACTCACTAATGTGTTTCAGAAGGCGAGGATATATAAATAAATAAATTATCCCGCCTTAAACACATCACCTTCAGCAGCCGAGTGTTTCCCCCTGACCCATATATTGGCTCCTGGATACGGCGTCGTGTTATCTCTGGGTTGATGGTGTTCAGATCAAGGGACCGACCTGTAAATATTGTCACAAACACTCCATTGGCGTTTGATCGCTAAATATAAAACAAGAAATTCTGGTTTATAGGTTATTTGTGTCGATAATGAGTCGGGTTTTTGTGTTTATTGTGGCACTGTTCTGGTTTATTACTGTATTATTATTATTTATTATTAAGTATTAAGGTAGGGACAAGGAGTTTTAAGTAATGTGTATCGATAATAAGTCAAGTTTTGTATTTCTTGGGGTACTGTTCTGAATTATTACTGTATTATTATTATTATTATGAAGTATTACGATCATACTAGGAATTATGGATCGTGGCAATATTTTACGGTTCGAGCCTTGACACATTAACGCCAAGTGTCAGTTTTCATGTCTTCTGCCTCTGTCTCCCACGTAAATCAACAAGTCTGTGATCCAAACAATAATATTTTCTTAAAGAGCTAATATTATAATGAAAAATAAACTTGTGTGTTAATAAATGAGAGGTGTATTATATATGGGTGTTATTTAACCTCTATGTATGAAATATCCGGTCAATATGTCGATGTATCGGTGTCAAAAATGTATACGTACACTAGTTATAAATTTTCATGGCAGTTGTATTGAATGTCATGTACACTAATACTGACACGTTCCTTGATGAGAGAGGAATTTGAAACGCTACTGAAGGTGCACCAACCAGATATAGTAGGAGTTGTAGAACTTGTACAAGAACAGGAGAATAGACCCCGAGGAATGTGAGTTCAGTATTGATGGATTTGACTCATTTACGAACCTTTCTCAAGAGGGGTGTGGTTATCTATGCCAGGCAAGGGAAATTGAGAACAAGCAGACTGTGAAGAGCTGCAGAAGGGTCTCTGTGAACTCCAAGAATGGTCGAAGAAATGGCTGCTGAAATGTCACGAAGTGTAAGAGGATGCACCTGGGGCGTACAACGGTAAGGAGGCGTATCATATGTCCCAACGGGATGAAGAAACTGCACTATTTGAGACTGAATGTGAGAAGGACCTAGGTGTGTATGTTGACAATGAGCTGAAGTTCTCGGGCCAGTGCGAGAAGAAGGAAAATCAAGTAAATAAATTATTAGGTCTTATAAGAAGGTCGTTCAGATATCTAGACGTAACGATCTTCAAGCGTGAAGTGCTTCCCCACCCGGAGTGCTGTCACCCCGTCTGGTCCCCGAGATATACTAGGGACTGTCAGTTGGTTGAAAATGTTCAAAGGAGGGCCACCAGACTGGTGCCTGCACTTCGGCACCTCAACTACCCTGAGAGATTGGTGTGCCTGAACTTGCCTAGCTTATACTACAGATGGGCAAGGGCCAACCGAACTGAGGTGTATAAGCATCTCAGGGGGCACTACTCAGTCGAGTGTCCTTACTTGGAGCTGGCGGACGCTCGCCCCTCAAGGAGACTCAGTTCAAGACTGAAGGAGCCACATTTCCAGAAAACTGTGAGGGCAAACTTTTTCAGAGTGAGAGTTGTAAACTCTTGGAACAATCTGCCCGAGAGTGTTGTGACGGCACCGAGTGTGAGCTGCTTCAAGACCAGACTTGACCAACACTGGAGCAGGTTCAGGTACATTCAGGAGCCGGTGCATGCCTGGTACTTGTCAACAGTACGTAACAGAGACGTGACCGATTGTCTAAGCGGCTAACGAGCCGATCAGTGGTGAAGAGGATAAAGGTGGTCTTATTTAGGTTATGTATAATATATAAGTCTCCCATTGCATTGTGAAACGTGCCACAGAAAATCGTCACGCTTATGGGGTAACTCGAATATTTGTACAGGTACGCATTTTGCCCCAGTCCGTGTTTGAAACTTTATGTATATAGGTAATATTAAGGGAGAATTGAAGGTGCCTGTATGAGTGTTGTGAAGGCCCACTACCACCCCCAATGAAACATCTCCATCCAAATAACCAACAACTATCTACCACACTTTCCTCCTGCATAGTTGTGTTTTACTTGTGTTTACTTCGTGGGGTACGGATTGTTTGGTTCACACTCAGGATGGGATGGAGAAAGGAAACTCACAATGTGCTCTCTGTATACATGTTGTATTGGATGTACAGTGCAGCTTGGTGCTGGGAAGGCAGCATGGTTACAAGCGTGATGTAGAGAGAGCTGGTTGGTGAGGATGCTCAGAGTCGGACAGCTTGTGGGTCGCCATGCTCGCCGGCGGGAGCGAGGACCGCCAGGCAGGCGGAGGAGGAGGTGTTGCTTGCTGGTTGGTGTTGGTAGAAAGAGAGAGGTAGGTCACCACGAGGTCAGGTCTGATATAACGGAGGTAGGCGTGGCTTAATAGTTGACCTCCGTCATGTAAGGCGGCGCTGGTTGACCTAGACCACGAGGCATACACTGGGGAATCGCGGGGTCGGCTACTCAGCGACAAGCGTTTGTTGGGGAGGAATCCACTACAACTTTTACGCTACCATTGTTTCTTGTGTGTGTGTGTCTTATGACCAACACAGATCACGACTCTACGTTGATTGTGTTTGTTTCAAGGCTGTCCTCTGAATGTCTAGGATTTGGGTGGTGATGGTGTGGGTGGTGGTGGTGGTGTGGCTGGTATTAAACTGTGCTTCAACATAATACACATTAAATTTGCCTCGAGGCTCAAGCAAGGTCTTGTAGTGTTATTATGATGATGTTGAGGAGGAGGAAGAGGTGGGGATGGAGGAGAAGGAGGAAGAAGAGGAGGGGATGGATAAGGAGGTGGTGATGGAGGAGGAAGAAGAGGAGGGGATGGATAAGGAGGTGGTGATGGAGGAGGAAGAAGAGGTTGGGATTTAGGATGAAGTATTTATGCCTCGCCTACTTACACAATAATATATTTCGTAAATTCTGTGTCAACAAAATACTCATGAGTAAGCGAGAATTTTTTTCCCATGAATTTTCGAAAACTCTTCGTAAAAAAGTTATATGAGTGGGAGTTTTTTAATGGCATTTCAAAATCAAGTAGTAAGGGGACAGCAAGCCTTCTTTGATATCAAGATATTCAACCCCATGGCCGCATGTCACCGTAACCTATCTCTCGAAGCTGCACACAAGAGGAACGGGAACGACGAAAGAATCCAGAACGCAGATCAAGCCAGCTCCGCTCCTCTGAACAGAAGCAACAACCCAGAAGTTACATCGTCGCCTGGTTGAGGTGTCGCCTATCCTTCTGCCTTAGGTCTGCTCTGCTTTGCCACACCACCACCCACACCATAGAGGCATAAAACGTAGGCATTGCCGCGCACTCCCAGTACTGTCAGGTGAAGCCGATTCTCCTCCGCGTCGGTCATCTTTGAATTGGCTGGTAGCGCGCCAGGAGGCTGAGTGATCCTCTTTGACACTGGTTGGCACTGGCACTGGGTACAACAGACTATGCACCCTTCACTGCCAGTGTACCACGAACTTCTGAACGGAACTGTACATTCCAGAGCCAGTGCCTGCCCTGGATGCCCAGTACTTGCCAACATTGCGTAACAGAGACGTGACTGATCGCCCAAGCGGCTAAGGAGTCGATATAGTTGTGACTTAAGTATGACTACAATGTGGAAAGAATGAACAAAATCGAACAACTCCTTCTGGTGGTAGTGCTGTTCTCATATGTTACCGAAGGCCACTTGTAAGTCGATGGTGTAATGTAAAATTTCTACTCCATTTAAGTACAAATAACCATATTTTAGTTTAATAGCTCAGAAAAATATAATATATATTTTTAAATGTCATAAAACTATGTATGTATTTCTCCATATAACAATATTTTGTAAAAATATAGAAATTCTCTTGAACATAATCAGGAGATAAATTTTCCGAGTGATAACGTCAACCGGGGCAAGATAATTAATGCTAGAAAAATACCACGATCACAAGTAATAAACTATCATTCATTTTTCTCAAACAAGGTAGTTATAGTTTCGTATATTGATAATACTAACTCAAATTATAAAAGTGTGTTTATTGAAAAGTAATTATATTTTTAATATTGTTTATTTAATTTTAAAATATAAATAATGTGGTCGATACGTAATTTATTTTAACATTGACTTGTTTTTCAGCCTGAGTGGGAGGATCAATAGGAGTTGGCGCCTTGATGTGAATTGTCCTTATTTTCGTCCATATTTCGTCTTTATAAGGTCAGTCCGTGTGTGTATGAAGTATAAATTGGTTTCTTGATGTTTTTATTAATGTTTAATTTAGGTCGTTAGTTTAAAAATGTGTTTAAAATTGGTTTAAATGGGAAAGTTTTAGTTGTTTACGTTACACAAATAAATTTACAGGTTATGATTAATGTTATCGTTTAGAGGTAATTTTTCTTTTTAATTTGAGGATTTTTTTGCTGAAATAGTTTGATGACGTGTTTTGTGGTGGCTTAAGAGAGTCTCAGAGTAAGACTATTGTGAAATTTAAACATTTGGATTATGTGTCAGGTGCAATATTGTGTGTTTACAGAAGTTAACTGAGACCATGACATCAAGGTATTTATTAACCTCACGAGTTAAGAATAATTTTTGGTAAATTAGGGAGCTCTCATGTTTATTTCACCTGATGATTAAACACCCAATCCTAACCTAACCTAACACTTCCGGTAACAGTTAACGACAGAGGCCCAGGTTAACTAGCTACCTGACATAAAGTTTCTATAGAAGAAAGCTTATTTTTTAAATGAATAATAACCCAAACCAGGTGGAGGAATTGTGCTAACCTCACAACCCAACCCAACCCAACACAACACAACCTAACCAAACCTAAGTCAACCAAAGTCCTGGGTTCAGTACTCAGCCTGGGTCAGATGTGTGATGGGTGTTAGCCAGTGTGACAGTACCCAACATGGCAGGTTTTCTCTGGGTACTACAGTTTCCTCCTGCACTAACACTGGACAGTAAAGACGATAACAAAAGAACAAACTGACTGTCCACCCTAATGGTTAAAAAGTTGATAATTGATAAAATGATTAATTGGTTGAGCTGTATTTTAGTTCACTGCTACAACAATAATAATAATACTACTACTAGTAATAATAATAATTTACTAAGACTCGTCCTTGTTTCAGGTGAGAACGAGGATAGTCAGTTGTGTGTTGTGATCATGGTTCGTAAGGACGCTCGTACGTACACTTCATCAGCCAGATATCAGCGGCTTAGTCAGGAGGACGATGGCTTTGTCGATGCTCAGTTCAAGGTATTTGTTGTAGTTATAGTGATAGATGTGTTGGTGTCTGCTGTCCTTATGGGTAAAAATTTGATTTATTGATGTGCTTTGCTCTTTTCTTTGTACAGAGTGTCTCAGAATGATATATACACACTATCTTACAATTATCCTGGAGATTGCATGAATGACTGTATCCCAACACTAACATTGCCATTAGTTGTTGTTGTGTGAGGTGTCCCACAAGCCAGGACAATGTTGCTATTCTAACACGACCATTCACGCAATCTCCACGATCACCTACAAGACAGCGTGTATACAATTTTCTTTTTGAGACACCCTGTAGGCTCTATCACCGAGTCTAACTTAGATTGATTTTTATTTTATTTGGTGATAAGACTTTTATCTCAGTCTTTTATTGGTGAGACTTTTATGTTTATTGTTTTCAGTCTTGTTCAGTCTTTCGTCAGAAGGACAGATCTCATAATTGTGATTCATGAGACTTTTTTACTTAATGTTGAAATTGTATTATACCTGCATAGTCTATATACCTGCTTAGTCTATATACCTGCTGAACTGTCTACCTGCATTGTCTATATACCTGCTGAACTGTCTACCTGCATTGTCTATATACCTGCTGAACTGTCTACCTGCATTGTCTATATACCTGCTGAACAAATTGTAAGCTTGTGTGACGATTATACTGAATGTTTGTCGATCTATCTATCAAAAAGGACCTTACATTCAGCATAATTATGTATGACTTTTTTCAGTGTGGCCGTCAGCCGTATTGAATGGCAAACCCAACATGATGCTATGGTTAGATTAGGTTGCTCAAAGTCTCGTCTCTTGAGGCAATTGTAATCATAATTCATAAAGTCTTGTTGCATGGAATTATGAGAGCTAGTATTAGTGTGTAACAGAGAACAGACAGACCATCCGATTGGCTAATGAGGTAACCAGGGATGTAGAGGATAAATTAGTTGAAAATGTTGGCTAGCGACATACACGAAATGACGAACCAGACCATTCGTAAATTTTAGCCTTCGTGAATCACCCATAAATTAACTCCCCCCACCCCCCAGATAATTTCAGGGTGGTTAAACTTCAGGTGAGCACTAGGGGGGTAATCTTCAGGTGAGCACTAGAGTATTAATCTTCAGGTGAGCACTTGGGGGTTAATCTTCAGGTGAGCACTAGGGGTTATTCTTCAGGTGAGAACTACGGGGTGGTTAATCTTTAGATGAGAACTACAGGGTGGTTAATCTTCAGGTGAGCACTAGGGGGATAATCTTCAGTTGAGAACTACGGGGTGGTTAATCTTCAGGTGAGATCTAGGGGGTTAACCTTTAGGTGAGAACTAGGGTGTGGTTATTCCTCAGGTAATTCATAACAACTAAAATTTTGAATGGCCTTGTCTAGCATATATATTGGTGAGCTTGGCAATGTAAATGACTTGTTGCTGCTCTAGATGTTGGTAGTGTAAGCGCTCACTTGTTCTTAGTCTTGATGTTGATGGATTCTTGTCACGGCTTACAGGATTTCCTATTAAGACTGACTGACAGGATTTACTATTAAGATTAAGAGGATTTACTATTAAGATTAAGAGGATTTTGTATTAATACTAAGAGGAATTTATATTAAGACTAGCTAAGAGGAATCCCTATTAAGACTAGCTAAGAGGCATTCCCATTAGGACTAGCAAAGAGGCATTCCTATTAAGACTAGCTAAGAGGAATCACTATTAAGACTAGCTAAGAGGCATTCCTATTAAGATTAGCTAAGAGAAAGAGGTAGTTAATGACCTCATACGGTTTAAAGTGATGACGTCCGCTGATGCACACATTCCCCCTCCTCAGGCCGGGCCCAAGCGCATCCCCTGGAGAGCTATACGCTATGCCATCCTCCTATTCACCGCCGGTACGCTCTTGCTCGTCGTTGGGAGTCTCCTCGTCACGGGCTACTTCGATGAGAAATACGCCGATCGTACGTGGCCGGTGATCATCCTGGGCGCCCTGATGTTTATACCCGGGGCGTATCATTCCTATATCGCCTATTACGCCTTCAAAGGATACGAAGGATTTTCTTTTGATGACATTCCTTGCTATGACGATGACTGAAGGACTCGCTGACTCATATAAGACACATTACATCACCTGAAGATTAACACCTCAAACTTATTTTACCTGATTAAACATACTAATTCTAACCTAACCTCCCCCTCCCCCCCAGTACTGTGAGGGTGCCAGGTGTAATAAGCTTGGGGTGCTATTCTTCAGGTGGTTCAAGAGCTCCTTCAGATATTCAAAGTTTTCCTTAAAATACAGGAGTCGTGTTGTTTACAAGTGGGATTATATGCTGGAGGTTGTACAGAATGATGAGTAGCTTGATTGGTTCTTGATGTATATAATAGGGTCACAGGGAAGACAAGCAGATCTTTATTATGTTTTTTGAGATGTTACTCCCCCACAACTTTCATTATTAACTGAGAAATGGCCTAACCTAACCCTGCCCAAAGAATGGCCTAACCTAACCTTGCCCAAAGAATGACCTAACCTAACCCTGCCCAAAGAATGACCTAACCTAACCTTGCCCAAAGAATGACCTAACCTAACCTTGCCCAAAGAATGACCTAACCTAACCTTGCCCAAAGAATGACCCAACCTAACCTTGCCCAAAGAATGACCCAACCTAACCTAACTTTGCCTGAAGAACGACCCAACCTAACCTAACCTTGCCCGAGGAACAACTCTCAATGAAAAAGAAAATCAAAAGTTTGAGGTCCTACTGTAGGTTGTTCAGAATATTAGGAGCAGAAAATATATACTGTGGTACAAGTCTGCAGCAATCCATATCTATTAAGTCATAAATTGTGCCTTTGTGACGATTTTAGTCTGTTTTCAAAGTCCAAACTCGCCCAAATGTCCTCTGAATTGGCGATTACATTAAACAAAACCGTATGATAGATTGTGAATTTGTGCGTGCATTGTTAATCAGCCAATAATGTGTGTGTTTATGGTTGGAACACATGTGGTTGAGATGTTTATGGGGACGCACACACACACACACACACACACACACACACACTTCTCATGGGTGGTGATGCCGAGTTGTATGAAGTAACAGGTAACCAAAAGAGGATATCTTCGAGCCTTTGTTATGGACGGGGAATGATATAAGGGAACACATCCATCATGCCGGCTAGATCAACCCCTTGAGTATGATGACTTAACCCCTTTAGCATGATTTAGTTGATTTAGAGTTGTTAGTTTGAGCAAGTCAGGTGTGTGTGTGTGTGTGTGCGTGCGTGTGTGTGTGCGTGCTGACTAAACCTCAGTACCCATCAACTGTGTCTTCATTAAGGGTTCTTGGGCATTTTGTCATTAGCTCAGCATAAATCTAACCTAACCTAATCCAAGCCTAACCTAACCTAACCTTAACCAATCTCTGAAGAAACTTGTATTCATTTCATCATTCAGTTTCTACATGAAGGACAAGAGAGTTTATGCTTGTACCGCCTAATGTGATCATTTTCGTCATCTTTATTGTTTGCATGTACGGAAATAACCTTTTGTTGACTAGTCGTGTTTTGGTGACCCCATACGGACAGATTCTCTTATAATGGGCATGATATTGAAGATTCCACGTCAAGCGAGAATATATTCGGTGAAGCTCTGTCATTATGAGGTCTGTCTGTATTATTTTTCACAGTAGTTGAGGTTTTATTATTATCAGATAAACACTCATTCATTATCTCTGCAGATCTCAGTTCCCACAATGCCATACTATTTTAATACTCTCTTGGTCTCTTATCTAAACATTTTGTATAAACTCAACAATTGCCTTAGAGTGAATGGGGTTGGGATTTTAGTCAGGGCATCTGTGATTAACTTCATGGTATTTATAAAGGATTTGGCTGTCATATGATAGTCTTTTGTTTTTTGTATGGTTTCACACCGGATTTGTTTTGCTGTTTTTTGACATTGTATATTTTATGAGTAATTGTTCCATATACCTGTAAGATTTTGTTTGGTGTTAAAGCCCATAATTTACTGTTAGAATTAAGGGCATTTTCATTCCATTTTTGTGTGTAAGTTGAGAAGTGTAATTATATATAATACATATTTTATTAAGTGTTTTATTGGACAAATTAAAGGTTGGTAATGGTCGCGCGGCCACTTGGGTTCCGTGAGGTCAATTCCGGCTATCGGAGAGTTCCAGGTTTAAGGGATTCCGGCTAACGAAGATATTACTGTATTTCCTTATATTTGTTCTACGTGTTAACTTGGCCAGCTTGTAGTTATGGCCCCTCGTGTTGGTGGTGCAGGACATCACAATGACATGTCCCGGGTTCATGTTTTCATCACTTTGAGGATTATGAATGTTTGAGTTAGATCTGCCCCATTGTGTCTTGTCTGAAGGGTTGTTAGTCCTAAGGCCTTCAGTCTACTTGGATGATCAGTGATATAGTTCAGGAATCATTTTAGTCGCTCTGTGTTGAACCTTTACCAGGGATGTTAAGTCTTTCTGGAGGTAAGGTTTCCTGTATACAGTAATCCAGACTGGGACATACGTGAGATTTGTACAGTTGAAGGAGCATTTTCTTATCTTAGTATTCTAAGTCATATATTATAATTCACAAATCTTATTCTGTTTTCTTCACTGCTGTGCCGCCTTCAGTGAATGATCTATCAATGACAAGATCTTTCTCCTAATTGACAGTATCCAGGAAGGAATTATGAACAGAATAGGTGTGCTTGTGGTTGTTGTATTTTATACGAAGGGTCTTGTATTGAGTAATGTTAAGAGCATTTACCAGTCTTGGGACCATTTGAACAGCTCTTTCAAGTCTTTCTGTATTGTGACATGTCAGTCTGAGATTTTATAGCATTTGATAGGAATATTATATATACAGTACTGTACTAAAAAGGTTATTTGGTAGTAAGAAACAAGAATATGAATGATTCCCATATTTATTCACGAGTAGAACATGACACATTCTCGTTCTGTACTGGATAGGAACAACATGTACAGGTGGTGAGTGTACAGTACAGTACTACATCACATCATAGCCAGGGAAGTCAAGTCTCTAGGGGAAATGGCTAATGCGATCAAAAACACCACGGAAGAAATGTATCGTAAACCTGAAACCGAAGGCAAAAATAACATTGACGCCAAGTTACATATTTAAGGTAACTCTTGTGTGGTACTAATATAAGTTTTGGGGTTATAAAAGGATTATTTAATAACTTTAAGTTTTATATTGAGACAGAGTTAAGTATTTAAGGTGATATGTGGTCATATTAGTTACGAACTGAAGAGGTGTATTAAATATTCTTAGTTGTATTTTGAAATGAAATCTGTAGGCAGTTATTAATGTATGTATGTATGAATGTATATGTATGTATATGGCAGTACTGTATGGTGTATACAGCAGATTCACTTTGTATAATATATATATGTATATTGACGATAATAAATAGTTTCCGTCTAATGTGTGTGTACGTCTGTGTGTATGTACGTTTCTCCTCTTTCTCATAGCACAGTTACCGTCTAATGTATGTGTACGTCTGTGTGTGTACGTTTCTCCTCGTTGTCATAGCACTTTACTTTCACATATGTTACACAGTTCAGTTTATTACTGTATTTCCTATCTGAAGTTTCTGTACCCCATTTATCCACACAAGTCTACAGTGAGAGAGAATTACAGGAGATGTATTTGGTAGGAGAATTATATAGGATGTATTGGAATACAGTCGGGGTGTTTAAGATACAGTCGGACATATTTGAGACCATTTTATAATACAGTTGGTCTTATTTGAGGCCATATTATGATAATCGGACATTTTTGAAACCATATTGAAATACAATTGGATATATTATAATACATTCGGACATATTTGAGGTCATATTAAAATACAGTAAGCTATATTAGGATGCAGTAGAACATATTTGAGACTATATTAGAATACAATCTGACATATTAGAATCAAATTGCATAATTTAAGGGCATTTTCAAAGATGATCTAATGTACTGGAGGATGCTGACATCATTCCTCCCATCCAGCCTTACAGGAGGAATAACGAAGCAGCCGGTCAATAAACAAATGACAGTCGTGTTTACTCGTGCATTGTTGAGTGCTGCAGCCATGAAATAAAATAAAACTTCACATCTGACAGCCATCTTGATTTGACCATTGCTGTGCGTTGGAGATGGTAAAATGACATGAAACTAACGACACTCTCCTTAACTCATCCATCGCTGTGTGGGGTCGATCAGGTGATATAGAAACCCGAACAAAATGGAGAAACAATAAGGAATACTAATACAATATGAGTAGAAATAAGGAGAAATAAGTAATAAATAAGAATATGTATTATTTTTGTCTTATGAAAGTTGATGGAATACCACTTCCTCTCACTGTATATCGGTTGAGTGTTTTGTTTATCATTCTCGCCGTGTGTCATATTACTAACCAATCAGGCGGTCGATCTGTTTTTGTTATTGTGTTACGACTTTCATTATTCACTGCAGAGATCGTTGGTTGGTCTGTTGCTGTTCTCTATCGCGACCTTCATTATACAGTGAATGGATTGGTGCTTTAAGGAATGAATAACTTCTACCGCGTGAATAATTAACGAGATTCAACGTCGTCTTTCTCCTCTTGTTTATTGGGGCATGTTTGTGTGAACTCTCCGGCAGTCACGAGATTTAGTCCGTAGATTAGAGGAGGGAAATGGTCGTAAAAAATAATTCGGGGTAAATAGGGAAGTGTGTTTGTGTTAGGATGGGTGACGGAAGGTTAATTTTACACTTGGTTCACACTATGGAGGGTTCTGTTGTAATGTGTGGTGTTTCGCTCCTTGTGTTAACATGAATGAATCGTAGACATATAATTCTACACTTGGTTCCCACTATGCGAGAGCTTTCTGTTGTATTACATGGTGCAATAATGGTTGTTTCACTCTGTGTAATATGCTGTCAATACACTATGCGAGTTTTCTGGAGTACTTTGTGCTGCGATAGTGGATGTTTCGCCCCATGTGTGTTATGATGTCAGCTGATTATGTGTACTGCAGTGTTTCAATAGACCCTCTTAGTGTGCAGTTAACAAGGGTATGTAACAACATTGTTTCCATACTGTACATACGTATTTGTGTCTTAACCCTGTATGAATGATGATAGGTTAAGTGGATTACCTGAAGATTCGCTCCCCCAAACTTATTTCACCTCATAATTAAATACACTAACACTACCTGGGATTAGGTTAGGTTATGTTAGGTCTGGTTACATTAGGGTAGATTAGGTTTAAGGTTTGATTAGGTTTGGTTATTTATATGTTATCTTGTGTTAGATAAGGTTAAGTTAGCATCAAGGTGTATAATCATCAGGTGAAATAAGCTTGGGTGTCTAATGTGATCAATTTAATATTCCCAGGTGTAATGTTTAGAAAAATTCAATGTCTGTCTTTGTGTAAGTTGTGTGTTTATTCTTACATATACAGTAGTTTAAAATGAATAAGATTGTATATTTATAGATAATGTTGAGTGTTTTATTATTGGACGCAGTGTATAATGTATAACAGAATATTGTTTTACTAGATGCCGTACAGAGTGATGAAGGCCAACTGTATAAAAGAGAATGATAATATTACTTCCTGCCTTCAAGTTTTTATAGAAATATAAGTTATTTTATATTGTTATCTTGATGGAGGTTATTTTATATATATTTTTTATCAAGGAATAATTGTAAGGGCGACCGTGTTTGAGTATTGCGTAGGATTTAGTAACGTTATCCAGCGGTGCCTGAGAGCCGTTGATACGAGGCCTAGGAAAAAAGTCCCGTGTTTGCGGTAATTCCATTTTGAGAGATTATTTGCACCGAAGATTATTATAGTCCGACGAGTTACCGCAAACAGGGCATTTTCTTCGACCCTAAGCCGTGAGTATTATTTTTCCAACATTTATAGTGTATTATGGTGCATCGAGTTCCTGCAACCGTGGAGTTTTCTCGCAGCCTAAGCCGTGATTGCAGTGTTTATGTAACATCCACAGTTTCTGAATAATATCAAAACAAAGTTGATTATTAGAGGGATTATGTTAGGATTAATACAGTAACGCCAACGTGTAACAGGTGGTTAAGAGTCTCGCACAGATACTAAAGTTGTGAGGTATATAGATCGCTTAGTTGACTATCCTCGGAGATTGGACTTGCTCTCTTGCCCCCCCATGTGCTGAAGGGGACTCGCTTATTACCCCAGTCGTTAATTGGAAGTCTTTTGTGGAGGAATTCTAGACCTTGGTGTTGGAGTTGTTGGAGGATGGAGGAGATCTGTTGGGGATTGTTTGAATGTGTGGGGTCGTCACTGCCACCGTTGTTCCTCTTGCCCGCCCATGCGCTGAAACCTTGTCGCTTGTCTGTTTCGCTGCTTCTCTTGCCCGCCCATGCACTGAAAGATGGACGCTTTTCATCGCTGTCGCTTCTTTTACCAGCCCAGGCATTGAACGATGGTCGTTTCTCATCAATGTCACTTCTCTTGCCCGCCCATGCGCTGAAAGATGGACGCTTCTCATCGCTGTCGCTTCTTTTACCAGCCCAGGCATTGAACGATGGTCGTTTCTCATCAATGTCACTTCTCTTGCCCGCCCATGCGCTGAAAGATGGACGCTTCTCATCGCTGTCGCTTCTTTTACCAGCCCAGGCATTGAACGATGGTCGTTTTTCATTACTCTCAGAGCGCTTACCGGCCCAGGCACTGAAGGAAGGTCTCTTGTGGTTATCAACGTTGTCTTCTGGGGAATTCTCATCAAGGGCGGCTTTCAGAGTGGACTCAGACAGGCGAGATAATGTGCCTTCCGCCCGTTTTCCCGCCCAAGGACTAAATCTTGTCTTCTTATCCAGGAAGTGATCATCCAGCTCATCACCTGACGACCTCTTCCCTGCCCAGGCTCTGAATGTTCTTTTGTCTTGGTTACCTGAAAGGTCCATACTTGGTGACCTCTTCCCTGCCCAAGCGCTGAATGTTCTCTTGTCGTCTGTGTTGGCATCTTGCAGTCTTCGTCCAATCCAGGCACTGACTGGCTCATCATCCTCACCGTCTTGGAGGTTAACATCTGACGATCTCTTCCCGGCCCAGGCGCTGAAAGCTCTTCTCTCCGTCGTCTTGGGTTCGTGCTCGGCCATCTTTCTCACCGCGTCCTCGATAACTTGGAGGTCCGGCCTCTTACCGGCCCACGCGCTGAATCTTGTCCTCTTCGCTACTGTAGTGCTGGATGCTTCAGCCGTCTGGTCGTATTTGGTATCTGGTTTAATGTTTTCCGCCTCGGTCTTCACGCCTGAGTCATCACTGTTTACCAGGGTGTTAGTGTATGTCTCGGCCTCTCTCTTGTATCTGAGACGGTCCACTGGAGGATAAGGCAAACTACCATCCAACACAAACAAGTCCGTTGGTTCCTCCTCTTCCCAATCATCTGCCGGGAAGGATCCGCGTTTTCCTCCCCAAGCGGAAAAGGATTCCCTCTTGACGACATCCTCGGCTTCCCCGTCATCACTCAGCACGCCGATGTAGGGAATCAGATCCTCCTCGATGATAAGTGGGTTGGTATCGTGCGTGAAGTATCCCGCTGCACGTTTACCACCCCAGGGAGCGAAAGTGTTCCTCTTGGTGTTGGGTTCGTGTTGGCTGGCAGGAAGGAGGGGGTCTGAGCGCTTGCCTCCCCAGGGGTTGAACGACGCTCGCTTTAGCTCCCCTTCTGAGGGTGGTGGTGGACGAGGCCTGCCAGAGAAATAAAGATATGAGGGAAAAGTAACAAAAATATCTGGCAAAAGTAACAGATATAAGGAAAGTAACAAAAATATGAGGCAAAAGTAACAGATATAAGGAAAGTAACAAAAATATGAGAGTCCGGGTAACAACAAGGCAAGGGTAGTTTTTACAGATGTTTTAATTTATATTGTATAAATTTAGTTAGACAGACGAATTCAAGTTAAAATTAACTCATAAGAAGAAAGATCAACATTAACTCAAACCATAAATAGAAATAATAGCCGTACACACACTCACTCCGTACACACACTCACTCCGTACACACACACACTCCGTACACACACACACTCCGTACATACATGAAACATCAATAAGAGAGTGAGGTTGTTGTTGATGTTGAAGCTTTAAAACATCAGTAGAGAAAAGATGTAATGAAGGGAGACTAAACAAGTGTGATGGTTAGGTTAGGTTAGGTTAGTATTTTATGACATGTTTGTGTCACGTTTTGTGGGTTTGTTTTTGTATGTATGTCTTTGTGTGTATCTACATTGATGTGTGTAAGTGTATGTATGTTTGTGTGTGTATGTGTGTTTGTGCATTCTTGTGGTCATGTGTGTGTGTGCTTATGATTATGTGTATCTGTATTATGGTGTGTATGTACAGTATGTATGTATGCATGTGTGTGTACAGTATATGTGACTGTGTATGCTTTAGAATATGACTAAGCATATATGTATGTACTATATATACTTTACTATACAACCAAGTGTATAAATAACTGTAAATACCTTAGGGCCATTGTATACATGTACAGTGTGTCCCCCAAGTTTGCGGATTTTTACTTCACAATTCTCGGTTATTTGCGGATGACAACCTGGATGTACCCAAGAATGTCTAAGGGTAGTTTTAAAGTTGCCGGCATTTTTGCGGCTGGGACAGGGAGCCATTCGTTCTAGAGACAGTAATTTGTTTTACCTGTATTGTAAATATGTGTGTGTGTGTGTGTGTAGACACACACACACACACACACACACAAACAAATAAATAATAATTGGAAAATGCTTTCACAAATAATCAAACACAATTTTTTTTTAAATGTAACAGTCTACCCTCAAGTCCGTTCCCTATTACTTTATTAATAGAGCACAGACTTGAGGGTAGAACATGTGTGTGTGTGTGTGTGTGTGTGTCTACACAATACTCCAGGTAAAATAAATAATTGTGTTAAGGCCAAACACATAAAGGGAATATACATTTCTTTGTACACAAGTAAAAATGTACCTTCCTCCCCCGTCCGCAAATGTTGTTCGTGGATTTGACGGTTATGTATGTATGTATATATGTATGTATGTAACTATGTATATGTATGTAACTATGTATATGTATGTATGTATACATGTATGTATAAAGAATAACTCACCTGGCATTCTGAAACAAGGCAAGATACACTTCACGTAGGCTGAGAGGCAGGCCAGGTGCAGTCTTGAATGAGGACCTCTTTCCGCCCCAGGGATGGAAGGCTTGTCTCTTGCCCACCTCACACCTGTAACACCGGGGCTCGTTAATGGAGTTACCTGGTCACCTTGGTTACGGTAATGTTAGCGAAGGGGAGGAGGAGGGGAGGGATTTAATTGTGTTTTAACTAACCCAGCCTAGATTAATCAGTTTTTGCTGTATGTTATTTAACCTACATTAACCCAGCTTAACTTGACCAATTCTTATTGTATGTTATTTAACCTAACTTAACTAATCGTTATTCTATTTAACCTAACTTAACCTAATTAACCAACCCTTACCGTACCTTACCTAACCTAATCTAACTTAACCTTTTGATTTGGTTTTGGTTTGGTTATATTTGATTAAATTAGGCTTGGTTAAGTTAGGTTAAGTTTTATTAAGTTAGGTTGGATTAAAATAAGTAAGATTAGGTTAAGTTTGGATTACAGTAAGACAGATTAGGTTTTCTTAAGTAACGTTGGGTATATTTACATTTTATTAAATACATAGAAATAGAGAAATAAGAGAAACAAAATAGAAAATACGAGAATTGAGAAGAATGGAGAGAGGGTGTGTGTATATGTGGCAACAATGTTTTGATTTGGCAACGTCGGGATTGTGTATATGTGGCGACAATGCTTTGATTTGGCAACGTCGGGATTGTGTATATGTGGCAACAATGCTTTGATTTGGCAACGTCGGGATTGTGTATATGTGGCAACAATGCTTTGATTTGGCAACGTCGGGATTGTGTATATGTGGCACCAATGTTTTGATTTGGCAACGTTGGGTTTGTTATTGTTATGATTAGCGTGAGGCCAGAGAATTAATATCTCCGGCTTGTATAAACAGTCTCTATACCCGTAAGGAATTATAGGCGTGGCGGGGTTGTATAATGGACTACTGACAATGTGTGATAGATAGATGTATAATTACGATAGATAGTGATAGATAATGAAGGAAGATAGTGATAGATAATGAAGAAAGATGGTGATATTAAGGTAGATAATGAAGGAAGATGGTGAGAATAATGTAGATAATGAAGGAAGATGGTGATAATAAGATAGATAGTGATAGATAATGAAGGAAGATGGTGATAATAAGATAGGTAAGGATAGGTAAGGGCCAAAAGGGTAAGATAGGGATGGTTCGCGGTTCAGTGAGGCTGGGTAGTGAAATAAGGTGTTAAAATACCCTAGAGTTAACGGCTGTCAGAGAATAGATTTGAAGATAGATAGATAGATAGGTATTGAGATAGATGGATGGATGGATGGAGTTAGATTCTGGGGTGTGATTGGTGGAGACAAGATCCTGGGGTGTGATTGGTGGGGACTATAAGAACCTGGGCTGTGATTGGTGGACACAATAAGGTTAGGTTCTGTTGGCAAGGGCTTTTATTTAGGTTAGGTTAGTAATAGTGTTTGTGGTTAGGTTAGGTTGGTATGTATGGTTAGGTTAGTATGTATGGTTAAGGAAGGTTGGTATGTATGGTTAAGGAAGGTTGGCATGTATGGTTAGGTTAGTATGTATGGTTAAGGAAGGTTGGCATGTATGGTTAAGGAAGGTTGGCATGTATGGTTAAGGAAGGTTGGCATGTATGGTTAGGTTAGTTTGTATGGTTAAGGAAGGTTGGCATGTATGGTTAGGTTAGTATGTATGGTTAAGGAAGGTTGGCATGTATGGTTAGGTTAGTATGTATGGTTAAGGAAGGTTAGTATGTATGGTTAAGGAAGGTTGGCATGTATGGTTAAGGAAGGTTGGCATGTATGGTTAGGTTAGAGGCAGAAGTACCATAATAAGCCTTCGTACCGTATGATAGGATGTGAGGGTACGTGATCAGGGGTACATAAATTAGGGTGTCGACCATGAGGGAGAGCGAGGGGCGAGACGTCCATCACCTCCGACGTCACGAAGGATACTGAGGCGGCCCCGCTGCTCAACGCCACTGCCAGACGTACCCACAGACTTACCCATCTCCCAACTGTTACCATCACTACCTGTAACATAAAAGGTGTTTAATTATCAGGTGAAATAAGCTGGGGGTCTAATCATCAGGTCACACACGCACACACACACACACACACACACACACACACACACACACACACGCCCACCCCATTCCCAATTATGGTAAAAGAATAAGAAACATCAAGACTGTTTACATATTACACTTGTTAGCACCCTTAACCTCGTTGACTTCACGCCCAAGGTAACTTCACGCCGGGACGCACTGAGACATCTTCCCCTTACAAAGACATCTCACGGTAATTATATGATGCGCTCGTGGCCCTCTAGCGGTTAAGTGGGCGTTACTTATTCCTCTTTCTTCTACATGTACTGTGAAAATAGACTCTCTCTCTCTCTCTCTCTCTCTCTCTCTCTCTCTCTCTCTCTCTCTCTCTCTCTCTCTCTCTCTCTCTCTCTCTCTCTCTCGGTCAGGATTCTTAAATAAATAAAATTACCTGTTTATATTTTTTTTACCTGGTGATTCGCCCCTAAGTTGTTCTCACCTGAGTTAATTAGGGGTTAGGTTAAGTTAAATTGGGTTGGGTTAGATTTGAGTAGGTTATGCTGTGTTGGGATAGGTTAAATTAGGTTATGCCTTGTTGAGAGAGGGAGAGAGAAACTCAATCTTTCTCTTCTTTGCCCCACCTTATATGAGAGAGACAGAGAGAGAATTATATTTTCTCTCGTGGCTTTGATGTGTCTCCCAAGAATTGTATTTGGATGGGTGACGGACCTAAATTCTTTTGTGTTTGTGGTCGCTGTCTAAACTTTTTTCTCTCCTTCAGCGTTTTAACACAAGTTTGTTATATTATTATTGTGGTCACGGCATAGAGGGGGAACAGGCGGTGATGTATGATAATTTGGTTTTATTTTTATATGAGGATTTTGTCGTATGAGATTATTATTATTTTTGTTGTGGTCTTATTATTGTTGTTGTTGTTTTTTATTATTGTTGATTTTGTCATTATTATTGTTGTTAGTGTTATTATTATTATTATTGTGAAAGTCTACGGTGTCTGTTAGTCACATTTCACTATCTATGTATCTTATTATTATTATTTAAGCATGTTAGTAAGCAAATTGAACTTAGGAACTTCTGAGAATCCATCTTTATCTCGTGGCTTAAGTGAGTCAGCTAAACCCTTTCTCACTAGACCAGTTGTGGGGAGGAAAATTACCATACGTAATTAAATGAATCATAAAGTAAGATGTGTTGGCTTTTATATCACTTTATCTTCCCGCTTTGATATGAATCTTCCTCCCGCTCCTCACCCCTCACCCCCTCCTGCCCTCCTCTTAGCTGGGTTATGGTAATGTTGATTCAATTGTCTGTTGATCTCAGTTGATTTATATGGTAAACAATGTGTAAAACTTGTCTCATTGGTGGAGTTGTGTTGGTGATGTGTTGGAGATAGTGTTGGTGTGTTAGTGGTGGTGATGGTGTTGTGTTGGAGATAGTGTTGGTGTGTTAGTGGTGGTGATGGTGTTGTGTTGGAGATAGTGTTGGTGTGTTAGTGGTGGTGATGGTGTTGTGTTGGAGATAGTGTTGGTGTGTTAGTGGTGGTGATGGTGTTGTGTTGGAGATAGTGTTGGTGTGTTAGTGGTGGTGATGGTGTTGTGTTGGAGATAGTGTTGGTGTGTTAGTGGTGGTGATGGTGTTGTGTTGGTGATGGTGTTGGTGTGTTAGTGGTGGTGATGGTGTTGTGATGGTGATGGTGTTGGTGTGTTAGTGGTGGTGATGGTGTTGTGTTGGAAATAGTGTTGGTGTGTTAGTGGTGGTGATGGTGTTGTGATGGTGATGGTGTTGGTGTGTTAGTGGTGGTGATGGTGTTGTGATGGTGATGGTGTTGGTGTGTTAGTGTTGGTGAGTGATTGATGGTGAGTGATTGATGGTGGTGTGTGTGTGTTTGGTATACACACACACACACGCGCGCGCGCGCGCGCGCACGGGACAATCGGATTTGTTATACGCTGCTAAAACTAATGTTGAACCTTGATGCTGGCACTAATGGTGTTGTGACTGTTGTTGTTGTGTTTGCTTTTGTTGTTTTGTTTGTGTGTGTACAGTATATGGTTATTCCTGGGTATGTGTGTGTGTGTGTTTCTGTGTGTGTGTGTGTGTGTGTGTGTGTGTACATCCTCCTCCCATCCTGTCCTTTCCATCCTTTCCCCTTCTCTTGCTCCCTTCCACCCCTCCCCTTCCTCTTGCCATCACCCCCTTCCTCCCCTTCTCCCTCCTCCCCCTGACATAAACAACACATGTAAACAAACAAAATATTTTAGCTCTGTAGTCGTCCCCCCAAAACAAAAGATAAACAATAGTATTTTTGTTTATTTACTTTTTTGGCACAACTGTTTGATGCTAACACCGAACGAGGTGACCCCCTAACCTAACTTAACTCCATTCACCTAACCTTCCCTGTTCCCCCTCTTTAACCTAACTAAGCTTAACTTTACCGAACTTAATCTAACCCCCCCACACACACACCATTCTCTCAACCATACAGCAGTCATAGATGTCCCCACTTCTCTCCCCACTCTCCCCCTACTCCCCCCCTCTATCCCCCACTCCCCCCCTATCCCCCACCTCCTAATGACTGAACTTCTGTAGAAACAAGAAATATATTTTTTTATTCTCAGGAACCCAAGTTGGTAACACTGTAAACAAGTGATGCTAATGTGTAGGGTGTTTTTTTTTATGAAGTATTGTACTTTAATGAGGAAAAAAAACACGTATCTGTATGTTTGTAAGTTTTTTGTTGTTTGTGTACGTGTTTAGTTTAGTGTGTTTGTGAACTTTTGTTCCCTATGTGGTCTCATTTTGGGTTTTTTCTCCCCCAAATGGTGGATAAAAATGTGACTTGTCAAGCTGCATTTTCCCTAAATCGTCTGTTTTCTCGTTTTTTCCCTAAGTCGTCTGTTTGTCGTGGTTCCCCCCCCGATCGTCCTTGTCATGCATGCTTTACCCCGAAGTCGTCAGTTTTTTCCTAAATCGTTTTTCCCCCAAATCGGCTTTTGTTGAGGCAAGTTCTTTCCTAAATCGGCTTTCTTTATACATGTCTTTCCTTAAATCGTCTCTCTTTCCCGTGTTTTCCCCCACAAATCAACTTTCCTCGCCGTATTTTTCCCTCGTCTTCCCGGGCTGGCTGGCAAGGGGTCCCCCACCAGGCCTCAAGGGACAGCCCACATCATCGTTCCCGCGGGCTTCCCACCCCTAAGAGCATCGTCTGACGTATATTGAAAAACAAACCACCTTTCAATATACCTCGTTTAGGGAGGGATATCAATTTGAATACACTATGTCCATGGAGTGTGTGTGTGTCTGTCCGTGGTATTGGTGAGTGAGTGATCTAGTATCGTGCTCAAGATATGTTTATACTTTTACCACCCACGATCGTCTTTTGTCTCGTGTTTACATTAAGGGGGTGACTGTATGTTCTGAGATGCAAATAATGGCTCCTATCTCTCTCTTTTTTTCTCTCCCGTGGTGAGGTGGGGGTGGCTGGTGTCACTAATGGAGATTGATCATGGAGTAGCCTTCATGCTGCTCTTTATCTTATGTGATTTAGTTACTTATAGTCGATGTGTTTTAGTTTCTATGATTTAAATGGATTTAATAGTATTGTGTAATTTGACGCCAAAACACCATAATCTGTGTTTACATTTTTTCGCGCCAAAATATAAATTAATACGCGATCACAATTCTATATCCGATCTTACTCTTTGAAATGTAATACTTCCCTTGAATTCGTAATATATTTAAAGGATTTATTTAGGTTTTTGTTATGTTTTAAGCTGTAATATGCAGTGTTATAGGAAGCTGGTGGTATGTTGACCTTATTTTTGGCGGGAAAAGTATCAAAACATTAGCTCGTTATGTTTTGGGTGAGAAAAAATATCCAAACCTCCTCTCGTTGTGGCAAAAGTTTAACATCGTTTAAGAAGTCATATATGTTAACCTTAGAGGATCATTTGCAGCTGATATATCGTAGTCAAAGTCTATTTTCTGTTTTTCCTGCATTCTGATTGGCTAGTTGTTAAGCAAGATTATCTAATCAGTGCCTGGCGAGATTAGAAAAGTTGCCCTGGAGAGATGGTGCCAGTTGATTAGCCTGTGGTGGGCGACCTTCAAGTTGTTGCTCCAAGAAGGAAGACTCGAATTCTTATTATGTCTTATGGATCACCTGAAGAATCTCCACCCCAGCTTATTTCACATGAAGATTAACCACCCTAACCTAACTTATCCTAATCTGTCCTATCCTAACTTCTAATCTGACCTAATTTAACCAAACTTAACTATCTTAATCTGTCCTAACGCTAACCTAACCAAACCAACTTTAACCTAAACTAACGTAACCTGATCTAACCTAACCTAACTTAATGTAACCAAACTTATCCTAATATAATTTAACCTAACCTATCCTAACCAAATTTGCTCGAAACTAAAATAACCTAACCTAACCTAACCTTACTGTCAATAAAATAACATAATCATATATTCCCCAATTCAACATTTTCCCATTTTCTCTTGGTACGTTTTTTATGATTCATCTCTCTAACAGGGAGGACTATGCTATATTTTCCCCGCCATTTACAAATAACATCATCACATATTATCGTTCCTGTTATAAATATTATCACAATAATTAGTTGATTATTATGGGAATTATTGTGCACTATATTCGGCTTCATTGTCAGGTTAACTTTACCGAATAATCCCGACTATAATCCCGACCAAAACCGAATAACTCCATATTGCTTGAACTGAAGGTCTTAATTTGATATATATTTGTGTTCCATTTATGTGTATTTTAAATGTGTTAATATTTTATACATTTAACCGGTCGAATAAAAATGTTAACGTCAATTAAGTGAAATAATGGAATGTATGGACAATTGTTTTAGTGTTTAAATGTTTTGTATGAATGTTAGTTGGTGGAGGGTAGTGGCTGAGTGGGGGCAGTACTCGTTTTTGGTCCTTACTCTCACT